TGTTCTTGGTATCGTGTTTCCAGAGTGACATGAAACATCTTTCCGAACCCCATTGGAACAAAACGACATACTAGTAAACACAACATGTTTAGGACTCTTAATATTGTAATTATAAAAAGGAAATTTTGATTGATTTTGAAAATGTATCTTGTAAATGAAATAAAAGGTTCATCTTGATTTTTATCTATCTTGGGGGAATTTTGTTTTATTTTTTTGAATACTTTTTTAACATCAACCAAAATCCTTTGTATAACTATAATATTGAGAGGTCTAAAAACATGTTGTATATGCTACTTTGTTCCAACAAGGTTCCGAAAGACATCTTATTCCATTCTCAAGAGTTTGTAGAAAGGAACAAAAAACAATTGCACTAAAAAACAAAAAATGTTAACAAAAACAGTTATATAAAATATTTCTAAATAACTTTCGCATTATATTGTTGTCAATCAGTCAACATTACATGAAATACCGTGTTTTTGTACAGAATGTTTTCAATGATTGGTTTAAGAGAAAAACATTGTTGAATTCAGTTCTCCATATCGATACCACTCCTTATCTTGTAGTAAAAATGAGTGGTAAACAAATTCGCTATGGGCAGTTAAAGTGGCGCCATCTATTCATTTTCAAACATGGGGGTAGGGGTATAAAGTATTTTTAATGTAGTTTAATGGAAAAATGTAAGCAAAATACCAACAATATCTTATGGCAATCATAGAAAGGAAGAGGCAGAACTTATTTGAGATAGATCGGGCTGAAAATTGGGTCAAAATCTGAAGTTCACTATAGAGGCGTCACCTATTTTCGCACTTTTACCACAAAGAATAACTTACTTTAGCTTCATTAATGATCACAGTACATTTTTTTTTTACTTTTTATGGATTTTATATGGGGAGGTAGGGGACATATTATGCATGGGAAGCTATCTTTCTCAGATATTTCAATGAGATAAAATAAATTAAATAATATATGACGTTTTCTCAGATTTTGTCACATCTTTCCAAAACTCACCTTATAATTCCAAGTGCATGCATATTATAGTCATACTAGTCACGTAATATTATACTTGTGTACATCCTGATCATAGGCTACAGTTTTATGATGACATCTTGTTTCCCTTATGAAAAAAATCCCATTATTAAAAAATAACTCACTCATTTTCACATGTTTTGTCTTTTTGTTGTTGTTGTTGTATCCTTTATTACCACAAGTGTATATTGTGAGTACATTTACAATTTTTTTGCATTTAACAATAAAATCACATTTGCATAAGCATATTACGCTTTGCATACATTAGGAATACAGCTTTGGCTTTTAAAATCATTGCTTCATCATTGTCTGATTTGAAAGTTTGAAATAAAATGTCATTACCAGTTCTAAATAAATTGAGAAGTGCAACTCTTTCCGCATCTATGGAATTGCAGAAACGTAAAAAGTGATCCAATGTTTCTATTTCGCCAGTATCACATATATTACATTTTCTGTCACCCCATTTTTTATTTCCATTAAGTGTTTGATTCATAAGCAAATTGACCATTAATTTGCAATATTTTAAATCACTAGGGTATTTGAAACTGAGTGCCCACCATTTAAGTGGCTGGGCAAAGCATTTTACACTTACATACAAATGTGTTGCACTTTTTATAGCACATTTAATCATAAACGTTGCATTTTGGCTTTGACGTAGCCTACCTAAAACTAATTTTCGCCATATTCCCTTTGATGGGTAGATACCTGTGTTTATCATATTAGTTGCAGCATCTAAAAGATCAAATCTGCTTAAAACATTCCATATTGTATTAAGTGGTGACGCAGCACCACCGTGACCATTATATTGGAATTCCGTAGCTCGATAAAGAAATACCTGCTTATAAATATTTTTAACCGGTAGTGTTATCAACATCAGGAAGAACATTAATTTATCTAAGGCGATTTTATACTCGATGTCCATCCAGCCCAGTGGATCAGTTGAAAATACATTATCAGCAAATTTAGGAAGACATTGAATGCGTTTTCCAATCTGCCTATGGGCTGTTTGGATTAATTCAACATCATTATTCGAATAAGAAATGATTGAACTACCGTATAGCATTGTAGGGATAGACAGCGTCCAATAAAGGCGTGATGCCGTTAGAGGATTGAGTCCACCGCAAGTACTCCCTAGACCAAGTAGAGAGAAATATTTCCTTTTACCAGACGTAACCGCCTTCTCGACATATTCGGAAACGCTTCCACTAGTTGATAAGGGTATACCTACATGGGTTTGATTTTGCACAATAGTCACCTGCTTGTTGCCAATTTTGAACATAGGCTGTACAGCATGGTGATTATTTCCAAAAATCATTACATTACATTTATCAGGATGGATATCATACCGCCACTTACGGCTGTGATTGTATGCCAAATTTAGCAGTGCATTCATAGATGTCGTGCTTGTAGTTATTATCGATGTGTCATCGGCGTAAACTGGACATGTGATATCCAACCCACCAACTAATGCACCCAACTTTAACGATTGCAATTCTAGGATTAAGTCAGCATTATATAATTGGTACATTAACATAGAATAGACCCCGCCCTAATGAACTCCTTGAAGTACACAGAACGGAGCAGACAGTGTATCCACACGTACCATACACTTGTAATTTTTATAAGATTCTTGAAGGAGTCTCCACAATTTACCATTTATGCCAATGTTAAATAACTTAAAAAGTAGCCCGTTAAGCCACACAGTATCGAAGGCCTTACGGATATCAATTGTAGACAAGTATACATTATTTCCTTTGTCAAGATTATGAGCTATTGTCTCTTGTACAATCAGGGATGTATGGATCGATGAGCAATTAGATTGAGATGCCCCTTGTAACTGGGGGATATTTGTTAGGATAACTGGCTTGCTTCTGATCAGAAGGATATTATCAAAGACCTTCCTAAGAACAGACATGAGGGTAATCCCCCTAAAATTGTCTTTTTCTAATGGATCCCGGATACCTGATTTGAGAAGAGGCAATAGTATACCAATTTGAAAGTTGTTTGGAATAAATTCATTATCAATAATGCTTTGAAGCAGGATCTTAACTACCTGTTGAACCTGAGTACCACCATACCTTAAGTGCTCGGCGGAAACGTTGTCAAACCCAGTAGCACGTTTAAGGTTAAGTGAATCTATTGCATGAGATACCTCTTTTAAAGTCAGAGGGTCGGATAAAATTGTGTTACCATTCAAATATGACTCTGCTAGCATGCGGTCTATAGCATTATTAACCATTATCTCATGCTGGTGATCAAAATCATTACTCTGGGAGGGGGTGGAAAGCTTTTCGAAATAAGATCGCCACTCATCACATATATCTTTTGGATTAGTCAAAATTTCATTAGTTTCAGAGGATCGGATCAATTTCGAGTTAACTTTACAACCACCTCTACTTTTTTGAACTAAATGCCAATACATTCTTGGATTCAATCCTTCTGATTCGTGAAGTTTTCTTAATTCATTTTGCTCATATTGATATTGTTCAGTTTTATATCGTTTCCTAAATAGCTTTTTGGCATTTTTATATCTAATTCGATACTCATTATTGGCGTCTCTCGGACGACCCATATTGCACCATTCATTCCATTTTTTTATTACGGTCTTTTACCAACTCTGAGAGATGTTTTGACCAAAAAGGCTTCAGATGTCTGCGATATTTGACAATAGGAACATTCTCATATGACGCATGTTTAACGTTCGAACATAACTGTTCTATAAAAAAGTCAATTTGTGGGTTTTACTCATTATTGTTGCCAAAATTTGGCTGTTAAAATAAAAAATGTGTGTAGCTGTATCACAATTCTATTATTCAAAGTCATTTATAGGGTCTATCCAATACTATATTTGGGTTTTTGATAGAATATGATCTCTTTTATCTGAGTTTAGATGACTCAGTAGTGCCCTACCCCACAAAACCATAATTATTAGTGAGTGTGGTCGCATCTTTTAATCCTTGCACTTTAAGCCAATTATCTGGTCATTTACAAATATTTTACTTTCAGACTAAACAGATCAGATGCAGATGTTTCTACTGTATATATAGTAAAACCTGTGAATATTGAACATTTGAATTGTTGTGGTACAAATATACTTGTCTCAAAAACCTATTTTTTATATGGTTCATGGCAAGAAAATCATCAATAAACTTATATACAGTGAACATGCCAACAATTACAGACAAGCTATAATGATGTATGAATATATATTTGTGCCTCATCTTTACTCTCTGAGTTAGAGATAATTCTTTCATCTAGCCTTAACCGATCATAATACTATGAATATTTATTGAAAGGCCATCTATTTCATCTGAATCCATAAAGCTATGTTCACACCAACGGCGAATGCCACGCTTTAGATCGGCGAGCAAAGCGCCGTCATTTTTGTCATTTTTGTTCATACCAACGGCGCTTTGATGGCGCTTTAAAGCGGCTTGTAAAGCGGCACCAAAGCGTAACGAAGCTTGATTAAAGCGTCGGGGTCGTAGAAAAGCTCGGAGTAAAGCGGGATATTCGGCAGGAGCGCCAAAAAATTTAAACTGTTTAAAAATTTTGGGCGCTCTGTTACGAATTCATTAAAGCGCCGAGAGCGTATCAAAGCTTAACAAACCGTAACAAAGCTCAGAAAAGCTTGATCCAAAGCGTAGGAAAGCTTAACATAGCTCTGATAGGTTCCTCACGCTTTGTTCCCGCTTTGACAAGGCTTTGTTACGCTTGAAATCACGCTTTGATAAGCTATGATAAGCATTTTTACGCTTTAATGCGATAATGACGCTTTAAATCAGGCTCTGACACGATTGCGAAGCTCTGTTGTGCATTGTTACGCTCTGTTAAGCTCTGTCACGCATTGCGAGATCGCCGATTTCATGCCGCTTTTGATCCAATGAGTATATAAAGATGCAGTAGATCCATAAAACCATTGCATCTTTGACTCGAGAACACGATGGCAGAACAACAAGATCCAGAAATTCCAGATGGACCAGAACCTATCTGAAGAAGACATGATGTTTGTCGCACGGGGTGATATAGCGTGTGGAAACTTGTCAAGCGTAACAAAGCCTAGCAAAGCGTTTCAATCCTTGATTAAGCGTCTCAATTCGTTGGAAAGCTTGAGAGTCCTTCATGAAAGTGTACCAAAGAGTGTTAGATATTGATGAAAGCGTCTGACCTCGTGTCAGATCTTCATGCCAGATCGTAGCAAATCTTTAGACATCTTAACGAAGCGTGTCAAGTAGTAACAGACCGTGAAGAGACTGGGGTCCCCACTTTGAACCAAGCTCTGTTAAGCTTTCCTACGCTTTGGGCCAAGCTTTGCTGAGCTTTGTTACGGTTTGTTAAGCTTTGATACGTCCTCGGCGTATTTATCAATCCGTAACCGAGCGCTCAAAATTTTTAAACAGTTTAAAATTCTTTGGCGCTCTTGCCGATTATCCCGCTTTACTCTGAGCCTCTCTACGACCTATTACGACCCCGACGCTTTAATCAAGCTTTGTTATGCTTTGGTGCCGCTTTACAAGCCGCTTTAAAGCGCCATCAAAGCGCCGTTGGTGCGAACGTAGCTTGAAGATTAAATTTATTAGCGCTCTTGCCGAATATCCCGCTTTACTCCGAGCTTTTCTACTACCTATTACGACCCCGACGCTTTAATCAAACTTTGTTACGCTTTGGTGCCGCTTTACAAGCCGCTTTAAAGCGCCATCAAAGCGCCATTGGTGTGAACGTAGCTTTACTGAATTTTATGCTTTCCTAAGTACTTGTCTTTCATTTAATGATGAAACTCATTAAAACCTAGCATCTTCTTCTTTGGTCATTTAAATCTTATCAGCATTAAAACTGTATGTTTATTTCTTATTCAGAGCCTTGACCTATATTATATATTTCACGCAGTGTTTGTCGTAGATTTAGTCAATGATGCAACTCTTAGTAGAAGGTGTGCTATATAGGGAATGAAAGCTGTTTATCAGACGTATCATTTTCTTCAATAAACTCAGAGATAGTCAGGTTAGATTTGTGACGTCACAGTGGCAAAGTCAGACTAGCATATTTAGACGTATTTGGGGTAGGGCAAATAACCCTTTCTAGCCTGAATGGATAAATTTTTCACATATTCAGCCAGTTCCGACGTTTTTATACATTTTTGAACTAAAAATTATATTTTCTGCCAAAAAAAGTTGCAGAGACAAAAATCAGTGTGATGTCATAAAACATTAAGGTATGAGGTTCCATATCCATCCGCCAAAAGGTATGACCCTGGATGGACTTGAAATTGTGTGGGTGTCTGTTACCAATTGGCAAATAAATTTTATTCAATACAGGTGGCTTTTGCATTGCCTACGCAAGACTTGTGTTTATCATGTGATTTTCAAGTATTTTTTAGAGATAGAACTGCAATAGTTGAAATATGACTCAGATACTAAAACAAAATAATATATCACTGACTAGTTGATCGCCCACTGATATGGTAATTTTCTGACTTAACAATTTTAAATAATCTCACCAGACCTTATAGTGCCATGTTATCTCAACATTTTTAAGAATTTTATCATACCATAATTTATCTCTCTCATGTCATTTCGCATGATCACCAGATATTTTTTTGTCTTTTGATGTCAACTTTAATACTGTATAATTTTTTATCAGAATCTGAAAGCCAACACTTGACAATATCGATTGTTATTAATGATACTGTCATTGCCTGCATTGAATTCAGTGCCACTTTATAAATGTGCTTATTAATAGACACTGGCAGATTAGAAAAGGCCTGAGGCCCTAAAAAGTGGGCCTTTTGGTCATTACTGGGCCTTTTTATTTTTCAATTTCAGGTCTAATTTTGAAGAAAATGGGCCTCAAAATTTGGGCCCACTTTTGGGTTTTAGGGGCCCACATTTTTTTGCGTGCAAGCGCGGACGTTTTTTACTCTGACCTGAAATTTGGGCCCCCCCTTGTTGGTTCTCAGATCCGCTCCTGATAGATCCCCATCATCATCAAAAATATATTCTTGTTTGCTGTTGGTCAGGTCATTTAATACCAGATTAAAATAACAACATAATCGGCCTCTCCCATTAACTCCTGAAGGAGAAATCTCAGTATTAATTCTGTTAGGACTGTAAAGAATTTAAAGCAGAAAGTGGGACTGTGGTATTAGATGTAACTAACTAGTATTACTCCTTGTTTTAGGTTTGTGAAAAACTGGGAATTATGGGTCCAGAGAGTGAATATTTTGGTCTGCAATACACAGGCAGGAAGGGAGAAAGCCTGTGGCTGAATACCCGCAACCAGATAGACCGCTGTCTCCAGGCTCCATGCAGGCTAAAGCTGAAAGTGAAATTCTTTGTCCAACCTCACCTGTTGTTACAAGAATCAACAAGGTATGGTTTGCATGAAAAATGCTGGTTTGCATTATGAAGGCACAATTAAGAAAAAGTGAATATCGGATATTTTTCTTAAACCCCCGTGCCTTTATTTAGTTATTTGTAATGGTACAACTTTATGATATGAGAGATGTCCTAATTTTAACCGGTAAAAACATGTTAGTTTATGATCTACATCAATCATGTAAATTAAGTGATTTTTGATGGTGGTCTAAACTATGGACATTGCCCTTATGTGTGCACTATATACATACACATAGATAATACATGTACAATGTACTCAATTAATCATTAAAAAGTCTGTATTTTGAACAGGTGTGGTCAGTTTTGGGTTTAAGTTGCCAGGGTTTGCAAATGGTGATTTTTGTTCACCTGCAGGAACTTGACAGAATATTTTAACCTGTTGTACGACTTCTAGAAATTGCACTTATAAATTTGAACTCTGTTGAAATGAAAATGACACCATAAATACATGACTGAGAATTTAGAATGCAACATGTGTCAATTAGATCTGTTTTGCTTAAGACTTAAAACATCATCCAAGATTGTGAAATTTTTGGAGGCATTTACTCCTTTTTTCCAGTTTCAATAAACATTGTACTTAAGTACTTTCGGCATAAAGTGTTATTTTTGTTTTCAGACATGAGTTTTACTTACAAATTGTTGAGGACTTCCTCCAGGGGGCACTGACAGTGACTCAAAGACATCAACTTATTAAAATGGCTTCCTTAATCGCACAAGTTGAGACTCCTTATCATGACAGTCAGAACATAAACCTTGAATCATACACAACATTTATTCCAGAGCCCATATTAAGGGATCTCCACAATAGTGATGACACTTCTGAGCTTAGATCTCTAGTCCAAGATGTGTGCAGTGAACATTCAAAACTTGGTGATATTACATCATCACTTGCGTCATATAAGGTGCTACAAGAAGCGACGCTCTAGCCTAATTGGGGCGTGGAAAATTATGATGTACTTAGTGAGTGTGAAAGGGTCCAATATACAATGGTTGTTGGTAATGGAATAACATTGTCAGATATGCAGCATAATATTATACAGAGGTATGTAATGTTATCCATTATTAACATTTCAACATGTAAGTCGATCGTATCTTCAGCATGTAGCTTCCTCATTGCCTCCTCTTATTAAAGCATGCTTATTTAGAGTTTTGAACTTATCATAAATGTGACAAATATTTGTGATATGGTAGAATTTTGACAAAATCAGGCAAGGGGTGCGTTTTTGTATAAAAACTATTAAAAAAGTGCTCAGTCATCGGGGAGAGTTGTTGGTCAAACCTAATTTCAAAGCCATTCTTGCCTCACTTCAAATGAGATGCACAAGTTTATTGAATTGTTAAAGTGCAGAGCCCCTTTTCATAAAATCATTGATCTATCCCTGCCAATGATTTCTGGAGATGTTCCAACGAAGTAATTAATTAGACACATAATTAACACATGCTATGGAGAAATTTGATAACGACAACAACAATAATTGATTATAATATAACATAATAACAGTAGGCATAGCTGCGTCTAAGAAAGTACTCTTCTCAAGGATTCACTTCCACTCTTTAAATTTAATATATTTCTAATCTGGCACGCACATCCCAAGTATTACAGGCTCGTAGCCCCCCTCCCCAAGCCAAAGATTCTTAGAATTAATTAAATACTGAACCCCCTTGGCAAAAGATTGTTATGGGCATGTATCATGTATTCAGAATATCATATGATACTACTTTTCATGCCATTAATAATATAAGTATTTATCATTCATAAAGCTACATTTGAGCTTGGTAAGATCATATCAGGAATTGAAGTAGTCAAAAAGAGTAAACGGTCAATGTGACCTACTGATGCAGACTCAAGAGTAGTAATCAAAAAGCAAAAAGTTTCATCTGATAAGTGAAAGATGGATTGTTCCATTGTGTTCTATGAAACTGCTTTGTTCATATTTCTTGTCTGTCATCCAAAGTTCATAAGTTCAAGCACAACTTTTTTTTCTTTTTTTCAAATTGATGCCGTTTGTAGCTTTGTTTTGTATTGTTCTTTTCTGCAATTCTGACCTGAACAGTTTTGACTCTTTTTTATTTTTATATTTGATGATAGGCAAGTCATTATTGATAATTCTTGCATAAAGGTTGTTGTAAAATGAATGAATGGGGAAAAGAAGCTGAGGATGGTTGGGGAAGATTGAGTAAATACTCTGAAGGAGAATGTGAAGTTTTTGCCAGTGTTTGTTTCAACAGAAAGTATATGAGCAACACTTAAAGATTCAAATTGGTCTAAATCCATTCAAATCAACCGTCACAATCAAGTTCATTAACTAAATACATGTTGAGAAATGAATCATATTTGAAATATTTAATCAAGAACATTACAAATGTCAAGTATTCATTTTGTTTTATTTTTATACATGTCAAATTGCCAATGGCCGTTCGTGTTTAACAAACATTCACATTCTATCATCAATATCATACTCAATTTCGCAGTCAAATTAAAAGAAGTTTTCTGGCATATCTTTATAATTTAGAGTATTGACTGTCACTACATGTCTGTTTTCTGTATTCCTTGCTAATTCCATTCTTTTCAGCTTAATTTTGCATTTTTAGAGATGGTTGTGGTATTTCCTCAGCCATAAAACTTGTGAACAAAGCATATTAATTGCCCATACTTGATATACATCACTTTTAATTCTTACTTGGATGCTTTCTTTGGATTTGAATGCCACACTTAGGTCATTTTGACCTCATAGCTCTGAATAATTTAGGCACAATTGTTTTTTGTGTATACATATGAGAATATATACAAATTCATTATTGGGACCTTTTATTTAACAAAGTCTTGTGACATTCACAAGTGGATATTTTACCTTCAATAAATCCATTTAAATGAACTTATCAGTACACATGCACTAAGCTAGTTGTATTATAAGTTACCAATTGGGATTTTAAATTTTGCTTAAAACATTTGTCAATTTGATATCAAAATTCATGACTATCATCAACCTATTAAATTTTACTTTGTAACTACTTACTTCAATTTGAATATTAAGAAAATATTTGAACCACGAATATATGAAATTAAGTGAAGGGCAAGGTTAATTGCGTTGTTTATTTAGTATTTCGATCAATAAAATTGACATTTTAGTAATAAATAATGTTATCATCCAAATATAGATATAACATTGAACTCTACAGCACAATGTACTTTTAAGTACATTAATACCCACATTCATCCATCATCGCTTTCATTCTATTATCCTGTAATGTCTTCATCTTCTACTCTCACTCTTATCCTCAGGGGCTCCTCAGTAAGAGAGAAGATGGTGGGAGGAGGGGGGGCTGTACAGTCAGTTAGTGTCCCTGAAAACGTCTTTTGTCATTGAACTGGATTAAGAATTTATTCATATTCATATTTTGAGAGAGTGGAAAGGCTCAAAACCTTGGAAAATGCATTGATTATACCGTAATTTAATATTTAGAATTTATATAGTATCAGTGAATTCAGCTATTGATTTTATTCTCGAAATCACATCCAAGGGTTGAATTTGTATTAGCTATTTAGAGAGTGAGTCCTGCCTAGTATTAATTTCAATAATAAAAATTAAAATAGAACCCTATTTGAGAGTCAATTTAATACTTACATTACATTGATAAATTAAGGCAAATCCTGAAATATTTTTAAAGTGCATTTTTTATGAAATATTATCCAGCAAGTATTTAGATGAAACAGTCTTATTTAAATACAAATCATAACATGATGATATTTTTCATGAAACATTTTTCAATGAAATTCAATTGAAGGGTCAAGATAAAACGAGCTAATTTAGGTGAAAACCCTTACATGATGATGTTTTTTCATAACTTCTTTCATAAAATTCCATCAAGGGGTGAGGATAAAATGATCGATTTTAAGTGATTTAAGGATCACGAGAATATGTTTTCTTGGATATATTCTATGAAATCCCATCCAATGGTCAAGGTAAAATTTTGATTTTGATTTGGTATTAGGTCACGTGTTCGAAAGATCCATATAAGGCCCATAGAACCATATAGGAACGTCATTTTGAATGTCACGTGATAGATCCATATATGGCTTTTAGAACCATGTCGGGAAAGATGAGGGGAAGCCCCTTACACCTGTTTCACGATTTTATCCGAACGTTGTTCGGATCATTTCGGTTTTTATGCACTTCATTATTGTAGCGAAGTTTGCCGATTCGATTCGTCGTATTTCGGAATCCTGGTGACAATTTTATACTCCAATTGGAGTATTTTTGATTTACTTCTTATGACGAAAATTCCCGACCCTTGTTCGGATTAATCTGGATTTTCTGACCTACTTTATCTACCGAAATTTCACGAGTTAACATTCGTCTAATTCCGGAATCCTGGTGACAATTTTATACTACATTGGAGTATTTTTGATCTACTTTTTATGGATTTTGCCCTACTAATTATATCTTGACAACAAGCAAATCAAAAAGTTAGACATGAACGGGTCTCGATCAACTAACCTAGAGCGTGGAAGCCAGGTACGCTAACCATGAGGCCAACGTGCTACCGATATGAAAGAACAAAAGTATTATATATTTATAAAGAGCGTCAATAGTAGAACGCCTATGGCGCTAGTGAATAACCAAGTCCCATGTGAGTGGTTCGTATCCCTCCGTGATATACTATTTTTGTTTTATTAAATACGACAGAAGGGAGCAAGGTGTAGTTTGAAAAGAAGACGTTAGTTTGTTTAAAAACAGTTTGGAAACATTAATCTCTGATAATTTAAGGGGTTGCACTCCTGAAGGGCCTCTAGATCTATGAAATTCAATAATCCACTCAGTAAAAATACGATTTCTCTGCAACCTGATGTCCAATCAAGATCATTCAAATATATATGTGTTCCTGACACATTTGGGCGTCCGGGAATAAAATTGTGAAAACTATTTACAAAAGTGTTCCAGAGACTCTAATCTACTTGGCTAAGGTTTAATTTGAAGATACATTGCCTTATTAAGCAGGTAGAGGGGCATACAGAACACGGAAGCAAATGCTATGTTGAAAATTTTCTATATTTCAATATGAACCTGTTATTACATGTCACGTAGGCCAGTGTTTTATATGGGGATAATATGTACTTTACTTGTTTACATGAACGTAAATCATTACATGAAATCTGCATTCTTCTGGGTTTAATCTGGGTTTGTATTGTCTTATTAGGGCTTTTCGACTTTAAAACAAACCCTACCTAAATGGATTATGTCTCTGGAACGTTTTTGTAAATAGTTATTATAAACAATTCTGAAAGAACATCACATATTTTTGTCTTCCCGATTTCAGTCATGAATTACGTCAATTTCTCGTGCAAACATTGGGTAGACGTTGTCATAACTGGATGCCCGAACGTGTCAGGAACATATAGATACTCGAATGACGTTGATTGAACATCAGGGTGCAGAGAAATCGTAATTTTACTGAGTGGCTTCACGAAAAACATTTCAGCAATGTTGTTCATTTATGCCTGGGTCACATATGCTCCGATCCATCGGCCGGCGCCCGCCCGATTGAGTGTTTTGTTCAATATTGTATTCAATTTTGAACAAAATACTCAATCGGCCGGGCGCCGGATTGAAAATCGGAGCATATGTGACCAAGGCATTAGTAAACTACTCTCAACCTTTAGGTGGCATAGGATACGCTTGAACTGTTATATAATATATAAAGCAGTCTAAATGTATAATGGTCTTCTAAGTTTGAAGTTTGAAAATGAAACTGGTAAACAAGTTTGGTTCTCAGCCTGTGATTGATCCTAACGGGATTTCTAAATATTTTCAGTAAATGAAATGTTTATATTGCAGGTAAAAATACATCTTTGACATCAAACGTACGTCTAGAGAGGTTAACGATCAGACACGTCGTCAGCTTCACGCACAAGGAATTCCTGATCTCAGACTCACAGACATTAAAGATGGCGCTGATCTTTCATCTGAAAACTGCTGCATTATATGTATGGACTCAAAAATCCAAATACGATTTTCTCCTTGTTGCCACACAAATTGTTGTTCT